AACTAAATGTGGTATGTTTACATAATGGAATTTTCTAAACAATAAAAGGACCAAACTACTGATACCTATAATATGCACATTAATGAATCTCAAAACATCTGCCAAGTTAAAGAGTCCAGATATAAGCGTACACATTGACAATTCCATTTACAGAACAAGCAAAACTAATCTATGGTGACAGAAATCAGAACAGCAGTCACCTCAGGGGGGCGAAAAGGATAGACCAGAAATATGTTTCAAATGTAGGTTTCATTAATCAGGTAAAGTGAGGCCAACAGATCTGGATATGGCTACGACTGAAAAGCTGATTTATTGTTCACAGTTTCCCAAAAAGGAGGCCTTCCATGCAATGTAGGGCCACATAAAGAAGAGAAGTTCACAGGTTAGCCAGAAGAGGGCAGAGGAAAATGTGGGCAAGATTCTCTATTACGGTTTCTATGTGAGGCAGGGTAACAAGCTTAGGATGGGCTAGTTGGAATAGCTTTAGTAGACTGTGGGTACAGGGGCTGTCCTAAGTTGTATGGAACCTGATGTGTGATGATGAGGGCAGAGGAATATTGGCCTGGAGTGTAAAGGCCCCAAACAGGAGGGGAGGGAATGTAGACTCTGGACTGGTTAGTTGGCATATGGAAGATAAGCTCCCAGGTGAGTAATTTACTATCTCTAAGAAGTGGCTAACCATGGGAGGGGCTATGTCTCCATGGTTAGAAAGGTACCAGATATCAAATCATCAGAATAAAGACATGTTTAATACACAAAGAAATATCTCAATATGAGGGAAATGTTGTGATTTAGAGAGGCCTATGCATTTGTTTACCTCCTGACCAACCCAATGCTTCTCCATGAGGCCCTGCATGGCATGTTGTGTTCCTTCCTCATTGAAACTGTATGAAACCAACTTTTCAAAAATTTTGCTGTTAATCTCATTGTGTCTTAATTATGTCACAATATTTTAAAACTACAGAAAAAAAAATACAGGGAGAGAAAGTTTAAAATTTTTTGAAGGATGTTAATACTGGCACAAAGAAATGCAATTACAGGCTCCAGGAACTTCAGGTAACCTTGACTTTCCTTTTATCTTTTTGTATGGAAATAGCAATAGGTGACAATGGATCAAAGGGTATGCCTTGTCTGTTATCTTCCAAGGAAGCCAATTCAATCTGAGTTAACTTTTCTTCAGTTAGGAGAGGCTGAAAGGGATCTGGGCTAACTAAAGAGATATTGGTCCAGACTCCAAGTACTTGGATCTCTCCTCTGTACAAACGTGTCTCAAGTAAACAAGAGCTCATGGGGGAACCCTCTGAGAGCTCCCTGTTCTACCTTCCTGGAATTTTAAGGCTCAACCACACCATGGCAAAGCTCACTTTCACTTTAAGTAAGTAGCCATCCAGAAAATGACTAAAGCAGCATGGCTGACTCACAGCCGCACACAAAAAATGATGGCATCCCTGGGAGAAGCACATGTCCTGGAGAGAACAGCACAGCACATTTACCTACTTTTGAATATACAACAAAGGCGATTTCACCAAGACTGTCAGAATTGGTTAGCTAATGTTTATTCATCTGTTCTAATAACGACAATGGGGGTGTTGGAGTGTTTTAAAAAGAAAATCCCAAATGCAGATATTCAAAACCAGTGGCCAGAATCATTATTTCATAATATTATTAATAAATGTGCTACCCTGTTGTGCTTAAAAACTTAAAAAGATAAAACCATATGTAAAGTAGTTGATTTGGAAGAGGAGGAAGGGAAATAAACTAGAAGCAACCTGTTAAGATTCACAGGAATAGGCAGAGGATTAAGAACAGGGAAAGGGGGAAAAAAATTAGGGATGATTTGTTTACCTTCTGTATCTCCCAAGCAAATCTCCAAAGGAGAAGAGGAGAGGTGCTTGTGACAGCTTTTCTTTTTGGAAAACAAAGAGCTTTAGTCCTTCAAATAATGCCATAGGCGCAAATACTCCAAAGCATTAATCTATTATTAGATCAGTGATTCTTAGATTTTAATTTTCATCGATGATCAAATTAAAAAAATAAAACAAACATAAAACTTTGAAGGACCAGTAAAAGATTCCCAACATTAGATCTGGACAAGAAATACAAGTTTTTAAAAGTATCCTCTCCTAATATCACTTCATTATAACCATCTACTAATACCACCATTTTAATATCAAATCACTTAGGAAGAATATAATCTTACGACATAAATTTTATTTAGGCAACTTTAAATATACTAATTGTACTATATTTTCCTTGTTTTGCTGCAGATCAATGATATCTAAGCAAGATATGTGACTGAAGCCATCACATCTATTAATCCTCAAACCCCACCATCTTCCCACTAATCTTTACCAGACAATAGGGGACATTCAGCATAGAACTTGGTCCACCTCATCCTTCTGTCTGGTCCCTTCAAAAAACTCATCTGTACCCACATCTCCATTTTCAGTGGAAGAGGTGTTCTTCTGTCTGTTTCTGGATTCCATAGCCTTTTGTCATGTCAGGGACACTAAACCCATCCATAACAATCCTTCCCCTTTACCAACAGTGGTGGAGTAAACTCTTTGACATCCTTCCCACTGAGAGGTTGGGTCTATATCCCCTACCCTTAGCCCTGGGTGGGCTTTGTGACTGCTGGATGCAGAGCATATGCAGAAGTGGCTCTGGGCCCATTTTGGGGACCAGGCCTTAAAAGAGTGGCAGCTTCCACTTTCTGTCTCTTGGAATATTCTCTCCAAGAACCCTGAGCTGCCAGGTCAGAAGTCTGACAACCCTGGAACTACCATGCTGAGAGGCTTCAGTTGTCAGCCCCAGCTGAGTTCAACCTTCTAACTAGCCCTGCAAAGGTACGAGACATATGATTCATTGGATACTCCTGACTGGACCATTCAAAGCCCAAAACTACCAAATGACCTCAGTTAATGTTACAGAGACAGAATTGCCTGACTGGACCCTGCTTAAATGCTGACCCACAAAACCACAAGATAGGTTGAAATGAACAGTGTCAGTACATGTTGGCTTAATTTTTAATGCAGCTGCAGATTATCAGAACATGAGTATCTTCAAGACCTTCTCTTTCTCCCTCCCTTCAAGCTGTCTTTGTGTGTAATATACACATAAACATACTGAAGACTGGCCCAGACTTATAAAAACCTCTCATTTTACCCTAAGTTCCCTCATAGATTCATTTTTTTCCTTCATTTCATCTGTTTCCACCTTTCACTTCTCATCTTTCTGAAATGGTGTTTCTTCCCTAACACCATACTGGTGAAATTATTTTTAACAAGATCAATGATGTTTGAGCTTTGCTAAATACAAGTAATCAGGGCTGGGAATATAACTCACTGGAAGGGCACTGGCCTAACACATGTGAGACCCTGGGTTCCATCCACAGCACCAAAAGAAAAAGAAATACAAACAATCAATGACAGGATCATCCCTTCCCTTCCTGCTCTCTCTGCCTTGTGACGCTCCTAACACGCACTCCTTTGGGAAATGCTTCTCCTCTGGCCTCCTCCTGACTGCTCCCTCCCTCTTGGCCTTACCTCTCTCCTAACTCTTCTTTTTCCTCATTCCCTCTCTGCTGCCTATGACTTAAATATCAAGATTTCCTCAAGGTCCTCTTCTTCACTTCTATCTTTCCCCCATGCTTTTCACAGTCCTCCTGTAGCCATCCCTATACTCACTGCTTCAAATAAATGCTGTTCCCTGACACCCCTAAGTCTGCATTTCTGTCCTAGACCTTCCTTAAGAATCAAAGGGCCTATTCTTTATTTAAACCTGGAGGTGTTTAAACTCAATAAGAGCAAAAATTAAAATGTGCACCTCACACTCCTCAGATTTCCATTTTTAAAAATATTTTTAAGTTGTAGTTGGACACAATATCTTTATTTTATTTATTTATGTAATGTGGTGCTGAGAATTGAACCCAGTGCTTCATACACGCTAGGCAAGTGCTCTACCACTGAGCCACAACCCTAGCCCCCGAGTTCCATTTTACTGTAACTCCTAGTCCACATCTACTTGGGAGTGACACTTGAGTCTCCCTTCAGTCATGTTCATGCTGATTTCACTTTCTTAATTTAGAACTGGCTTATTCCTCTCCCACCCATTTCTAACACTATTGCTTAGGATCTCAAAATTTCTAACTACTCCTGGACTCCAGACTCAATTCCCTCTCTAATATCCTGTGAGAGTATTCATTCTAAGGCATAAATCCTAAACTATCACCCTTTGCTAAATTTCTCTAGTGATTCCCCAATAATCCAGGTTGCAATTATAATTCTGCAGCATGACATTCCCAACCCTTACCCTCTATGACTCATCTCTTCCCTTTTCCCACTTGAGTCCCGACAGCCAACTTCATAGAAGTATTTACAGTTCTATAAATTCAGTGGACTCAGTGGTGCTGCCAGCCTCTGTACCTGCTCTTTCCTTCATATGATACATCCATCCAGGGGAAAGAAAGGGAGGGCACTGGGGGATGAGACTGATCAAATTATTTTTTGTGCATGTACAAATAATTACAATGCGCCAATAAAAATAGATCTCTCCCCGACTCCTAAACCAAGTGAATAGTGACTTTCTGTTGAAAGCTCAATTTGCCTATAACCTTCTCAAGAAAGCCTTCCATGCTCCCTCATTTTTCAATAACTTTCTTAGTGTGCTTACTTTGTTCTTCTCTATAATGACATCTATTGAAACATATTTTTTACTCAACAGCTTATTTAGAAGTGTGCTTAAGCTCTGGACTGAAGCCTTCTTGGAAGTCAGGGATTTATTTTTTTAATCTCAGATCTCTACTCATTCTCTACTCATCTCTACATATAGTATGTACTCACAGATATTTGTTGAATGACTGAGAGAGTGAGTGGCATCTATTGAGTTGCCACATTTATGTTTCATTGAATTTCTTAACAATATTACAAAAAAACTATGAAATTCATTAAATTTCTCCCTGTAAAGAAGTAAGGCTAAAAAAGGGCCATATCAATATTCACCTTCTCAGCTTTTCTTTGCTTGAATGAAGAAAGGAAATCTTTTTGCTTTTCTCAAAATCTGGCAATGGAGTCTTTAATTCAAGTCCAATATCATTTCTTACAGATTCAGCGCTAGAAACAAGATAAAATGATACCACATATTAAAGAGAAAAATTCTCAGGCAATATTAAACAATAAGCACAACACACTTAATCAAATAATGCTTCCTAAGTCTCTTGCTTCATACAAAGGATAACAACAATAAATGTCTCGCTTCCTACAAAGGAACAATAAATACTGAAGCACTCTACCTTATGCATTTTGCGCAGAACATTTTATCTCAAAATTTCAAAAGACTGTATTAAAATCATTGTAAGTTCAATGTTCAAAATTCTAAAATATACTGATAAAGTATAATAGATAAAAGCAGGATTAAAATGTTCTGATTTCATTGATTATGATATCCCAAATTATAGACAGTCCCCCAACCAACCTTGGTTTGGCTTATAATTTTTTCACTTCACCATGGTGTGAATATACACCAACACCACCTTTCCCTTTTCTACTTTCAGCACAGTATTCAATAAATTACAAAACATATTCAATGCTTATGTAACGTATTACAAAACAGGCTTTGTGTTAGATGACCTTGGCCAATTATAAGCTAAGATAGGTGTTCTGAGCATGTTTAAGGTAGGCTAGACTAAGCTATGCTATTCACAAGGTTAGGGGGATTAGATGCATTTTTGACTTATGGTAATTTCAACTTATAATTTAAGTTTTTATTGGGACATATCCCCATTGTAAGGAAAGGAGCACGACTGTATCTACTCTTCCGAATAAACAGTACCAGCCAAGAAATACCCTTTTCAACTTGATCAGCAGAGGGCAGGTTCTTTCTATTCCAAAACTGATTGTTTAGTGGACATTTTCTGGCTCTTCTATTTTTCAGGAACTTCTTCAGGCTTTTCAATTGATTTTTTTTTTAAATCAACCTAAAAATCATGCAAACTAATCCCATTTCCTTTATCTAAAAGAATAAAACTTGATTTGTACATTTACTCTTATTTATAGTTATAAGATTCTGAGAAGAGACAAACATTCAAGATGAGTAGAGATGAAAAACTCTTGCAAGTAATATAAGATAATCAGGAAACTTGCCAATACCCTTCCCAACCTCATATCTGAGATATGGGATCACCTCCCAGGTACAGTAAAGCTCTTTGAGGTTAAGATGCTAAATAAGATTAAAGAAGCTGTTGCTATCTCTGTACTACTTAAGTGAGCTCATCTTTGGTTTAACCACACTTAACTGGTTGCCAAGTCCCTTCCTTGTTCAAAATAGCAGATGGCCACATTCTACAAATTCTAGATGGGACTGACTAAATTCTCAACTTAGTACCCACAGCCTGGGCACTTAACATCCACTTTGTAGCCCTAGCCTCTATTTAAACCCTCTGTGGAAATTAGCTCAAAGTAGAGAAAGAACTTCAGAAAAACTTAATCTTTATAAGAATACAATGCTAACATTGGAAGGATCTGACCTGCACTTCAACTGCCTGTTCAATGCAGATTTAACTTCCAGTTTTAAAAAAGACAGACAGCTCTGAGGATGACAGACAACACTGAGAGAAAGACACTCTATAACTTGCCCTGTGTATCAAGGGCAAGCTACATGAAGTCTGTGGAAGAATCGCTTTAAGTTTTTTTGAGGAGGGTTTTCAGCAACTGCAGCAATGAGTTCAAAAAAGACAACAAGGAGAAAGTTGAGTGGGAGGGGGATAACAGGTAAGGCTGCTTTTTCTGTTTAATTATTAGCGTTCCAAATTTTTTTCTGAAGAAAGAATTCTACTGCTTTTTAAAAGTTTGAATATCACTTCCATTATGTAACTTTGATTATTAATAAACCAGACTCAAACACTGATACATTTCCCTGGGGAACCTGCTACCTTACAATTTGACCTGTTTCCCTGTGGTCAACTACAACTGTTAATGGAAGACCTTCTAATATTGAGATATTTTTGTAATGAGTACCCACAGTTCCCGCTCAGGTTTCTGCAATACAGAAAACATCACACCCCTCTTCCACAAAAGAGCTTTTTCTATTGCATCATCCACAGCACTTCAGCTATTTTCCCATAACCAACATTTTTTTTTTAATGATCACAGTAAAAATTGCTAATATAAAAAAAATCCACTAACCAAGTGAATAGATCAGTGGAAAAATATCCCAGGTGTTCACCGCAGGTACTCTGTAGGGGTAATTCATGTTCTTCAGCCCTTATAGCATTTTCATTCTTATCTGAAAGAAAGAGGACCATTTTAATTCTAAGCGATTTTTAGATTTCAGTCTGTGAAGCACAAAATGACCCAAGTTAGAAAGCAAAATTAAAATACTATTTACACCAGAATATCCTCTTTTTCAACCAAGTGACAGGTGTGCTTAAAACACATTCCACTGAATTTATTTATCAAATTCCTATTTATAGGTAAATGTTGAGAGAGAAAATATATATATGAGTCTTCAATAAGCAGCTGCATTGTCAAAATATGGCTCTGAAAATTTTTTCTTTTCTTTCTTTCTTGTTTTTTATTTTTTATTTTTTTTTTGCAGCTGCTCATCCTTGGTACAAAGATGAGGCAACTGGAAGCAGGCGTGGTCGTGACCAATAGAAGGTTTTTGGACAGGTGATGAGCAGCTGCTCTGTTTCTACTGAGGACTAGCTAAGAACAAATTGCCAAAAGGACCTTGGCCACCACAGTCATTTCCAGGAAGAACTCTGACACTGCAGGGGCTGGGAGCCATGGGCGTATTACAAGGCAGACTCACTAATCTAAATATTTTAAAATAAGATTTTAAAAAGTCAGGATTACTGAACGTTGTATCTTCTGGAATATGAACGTATACAGGATAATTCTGAAAGTATCCTAAGGCATATTTTAAGAAAAAATATTATCTTAATTTAAAAATTTTCTACCTTTATTGAGGTATAACTGACAATCCTAAATTGTATGTGTTTAGGATGTACAATTAAGTTGATATATACTGTGCAATAATCACCACAATCAAATTAATTAACGTATCTACTACCTCAAATATTTATTTTCTCTTTTCTGTGTATGTCAAGGGAACACTTAGGTAAGTAACAGTACAGTATTGTTAACTACAGTCACCAAGCTGTTTGTTAGGTTTCCGGAATTTGTTCCTTTTACGTAGCTGAAACTTTGTACCCCTTCACCCACATCTCCCCATTTGATATCATCTTAATTCTAGAAGAGTTATCAGCTATTGTCCTAGGCCTGCAACAACCAAACAATAGTCACTGACCAACATTAATTCCAATAGAACAGAATTTCAGAACCTGGAGCTTGTCCTTTTACAAGTAAAGCTAATTTAATTAGTTTGTGTTTAGATTCTAGCAATACACACAATACAACAGATAAAGAGATTAGAAATGTAAGGTCTAACTGAGGCATTGATACTAATTCTCTGTGTCTAGAGATTTAGAAGAGAATTATAACCATCCTATTAAAGAGACAGAATAATTTATTATTAATAAAGTAGTATTCAATTCATGGCTAGTGCCTCTGAATTTTAGACATTCATAGAATGACACAGCATGATTAACTCCATCTTAATGACTAAGAAAGTATGGTAGCTATGCTATTAAAAAAAAAATTAGTAATGATCTTTTTACCAAAAAACAAAACAACAACAACAACAACAAAAAAACCCACCTGAGTCTACCACAAACAACACTGTATTATGCAACACATTTTAAGCCTCTAAGATGTAAGTCTTTTTCTCTTAGGTTTAAACAAAGTTTTCTCTTTATTTATACTTTATTTTCTTCTGACCACAATTAAACAAAGACTACATGTTTGTTAGAGTATGTAGCAAATAGTTAATTCTCAGTAAATAAGATGTGAGTACAAGTGGGGACCAATATAAAAATGTACAGGCGTGGTTTCACAGAATTTTAATGAGAATTTTTCAAACCTTTGGATATTTATTTTTCACTCACCTGTATCTGAGAAATATGTTTTCCAATATTTTACCACAAGACTCATTTTTTCCATTGTCAGTGGTTCTGTTAAAGTAATATCAGCTCCATACCCTGAAATACAATCTAAGAATTTTGTATTAAATATTGACCTTATTATTTCTGTTTGAAGAAAAAACAAATGCTATACCCAGCAGGCACATACCTTTAAAATTTTCAGGGATTATAAAAACAAACAACCAATGTGTATTTTTCTTCTTGCCAAATCTGAGAGGGAAAGAAAATGTTATAATGAAACAAAATCATCATTCACAACTTTGGAATTCAAAAGCTAAACTTACTACAAACCAAGCTAGAGTGATTTCTGTTATTTCTTTAGAACTTAAAATGATGGCATTAATATGAAAAAATTAACAAAAGTGGCATCTTTAGTCAGTGAAGTGAAAGATGTACTACTTTTTCTTTAAAAACAAAACTACAATAATAAAAACACCTACAACAGCTCAGGAGGATGAGGCAGGAGGATTAGAAGTTCAAAGCCAGTCTCAACAATTTAGTGAGGCCCTGTGCAACTTAGTGAAACCCTATCTCAAAATAAAAACAGTCTGGGGATATGGCTCAGTGGTTAAGTACCCCTGGGTTCAATCCCTGGCCCCCCAAAAAAAAAGAAAAAAAAAAGGGAATTTAAAACTCACCCAAATTTTTAAATTGCTCATCAATTTATAAAACATTAGGGGAAAGATGAACATTTTAAACAATATCATAGGGATGGGACCAATAAATACAGAATGTGGGAAATTATATAAGACTTATGACCCCTTTTAAATATAGGTATATATGTAGATGTTCTTTAGGTTTTATAATTTTATATACATATATATATGACAAAATAAAAAAACATGGAAGAGAACGTTGAATCTTTATTTGTATAAACACACTTTAAAAAAAAATTGTAAGATAAGCAGGAAAAATTGAACACTGATTAGATATTTTTACAACATTAAAGGAATTATTATTAATTTTCAGGTAAATATTGGTATTGTGGTTATTTCTGAGTCCCTATCTTAGCTGTATATTAATTTATGGATAAAATAAAACAATGCCAGATTTTAAAACAAACTACCAGAGGCAGTACTGCTTGGAAAAAGAGACGAAACAAATTTGTCCAGATGTTGACAATGTCAAGCTGCATTATGGGCACGTGGAAGTTCATTATACTTTTTTGTCTACTTTTATATGCTTAAAATTATTCAAAATAAAACTTTTAAAATTTATGCCATTATAGTTAACTATACTCAGTAGTCCAAAGCTGGCTAAACCTTAGAATTAACTAAAATGAAATATTTTTTCCATGGGCAATGTTATTTTGAGTCAAACTTTCAATTGAGTGAAATAAACAGCATTTTTTTTTTTAAGACCAGGGACTAAACACAGGGGCACTTTACCACTGAACTATATCTCCAACTATTTTTATTTTTTAAATATTTTTGGCTGTAGGTGGACACAATACCTTTAATTAATTAATTTATTTATATGTGGTGCTGAGGCTCGAACCCAGTGCCTCACATGTGCCAGGTGAGCACTCTACCACTGAGCCACAACCCCAGCCCACCTGTTTATTTTTTGAGACAGTGTCTTGCTAAGTTGTTGATGGCCTAAGTTGCCTAGGCTGGTCTTAAATTTGTAATCCTTTTGCCTCAGCCTTCTGAGTTGCTGGAATAACAGGCATGAGACACCAAACAAGCTATTCTTAAATAACTAAAAACATCATTTATCAGTATGTGGTTATACATGCTTATAATTTATTCATTAAATCCAGAATTGGAAGAAACCCCACTACATAATATTGTTAGTTTATTTGAAAACATATATGTTTTCTGTTAGAAATATATATTATTCTGTTAGAAATTTTAACCCTAGGTATCCATGGGGGATTGGTTCCAGGAAACTATGGGGATACCAAAATCCTTGGATGCTTAAGTCTCTTATATAAATAGGATAATATTTGCATTCAACCCACACACATCCTCCTGTATACTTTAAATTATTTCTAGATAAATTATAATACCTAATATAATGTAAATTCTATGTAAATAGTTGTTATCTTTAGAACAACTTTGAATAATGACAAGAAAAAAAATTCTATACATGTTCAGTAAAGATGCAATTTTAAAAATTATTTTCAATCCCCAGTTGGTTGAATCTAAGGATGAAGAATGTGCAGACATGGAGAGCTGAGTGTGAATGATTTACATATCTACATCATGTATATGGAGAACCTACTATGTACAAGACTCCAGTGTCAGCTCTGTGGTATACAGGGGTAAACAGACAAGAGCCCTGCTCTCACGGGAGGGCAGATGTTTAACAAATCGTGGAGGATAATTAAACAGACAGAACTGTGTCCAGTGCAGTGAATACAGGCCTCAGGGTCCATGGGAGCCCTGCAGCCTTTGGGGAGGCCTCCAGGCAGACAGGCTTCTACAGCTGGCTAGGAGTCAATCACACAAAAGGTGGGGGAGAAGAGAGAGAGGAAAGCAAAGGAGAATCAGAGAATACTCTGGGCAAAGGCAACAGCATGGGCACAGGCCTTGGGAAGGTAAATGTCAGGGAAGTTTGAGAAAGTGAAGGCAGTCCAGGATGACCGAAGCATGGAGCAATAAGGGAGAGAAGCATGAGATGAGACCAGAGAGGTAGGGAAGGCTGGGTGGGATGGTTTGAGGCCAAAGAAAAGATTTGCTGTTTTATGAAAATAGGGAATGAGAGGCTATCGAACTTGAGAGTGATGTGATCCTATTTTCATTTTAGAAAGATCACTCTGACTATGCTGAGATGGGTGGACAGGTCCGCACAGAGTGTGAAGAGACCACACTGCAATGGCCCAGGCAAGAGCTAATGGTGGAGAAAGCTGACATATCTGAGAACCTTCTGTAAAAATAAGTCACTCAGAATATTTGCTATATCAATGACTCCAGACAAGCAGGACTTTGCTAAAATGTGTCACCCAACTGAGGTCTATTAAGGCTTCATATTGTTCTGTGAACTCTGAGGAGCTGGGACTGGAAGAGAAGACAGGAAAGGAAAGGAAACATGGCTTTCATGAGGAAATAGGCATGTGCGAGGGGAAGCTAGGAATGAACTGGCCATCTGAAGATGGAGGTAAGAAAAGCACATCACTCTACTGATGTGGATGGAGAGCACGGTGGCCTGGAGGGACTGGGAGTACAGAATGATGCCCACCTTGATGTAAAAGTATTTTATATGTTATTTTTTAAGTGATGAGCAAGGGTAGAGTACGTAGAGTTATAGAAATACAGACAACAGGATGAGGAAAAAGGAGAAAAGGAAAATGGACTGAACAGATATAACCACGAAGAAAAATTATTGGATAGTTCAGTTGAAATAAAAGATACTTCAGAGATTCATCAAAAGTCAAAATACTCAAACTAGAGAACTGAACAAAATAGATTTACTTTTAGAAATCACTCTATTTTCATTTTTGCAAAATCATACCAATTATTTTTTTTACATAGAATGTTAGATTTGTATATATATTTATATATATGATGACTTACAAGCTTTACATAAGTTGGGATTCCTGAATTTTTGCCATTAGCTCAGAATCGATGACCAACTCAAACACTCAAGCTACTAGTGAAACCCTAACTGTAGAGCTGTACAGGGACTCACGCAATCAATAGAGTTCCCAGAATCCAACACTCTGGTGCTAAGCTCAGCTTCTCATTCACATTCTGTCTGCACAAATCAATAAGCTAAAAAAGAGTTTCTGGCTTCCAGGATCACCAAGAAAATATCCTCTTTCTAAGGAATGAATGTTCCTTGAAACAGCACTAAGCAACACAAAAACAAAACAAAACTCTTTTATCCATCCCAACCAAAATCACTTCTTCCACATTCCAAAATCCAATTTGAGGCTGAGACATCCTGTGTGTTTTTCAATTAAAAGAGTCTTGTGTTTTAAAAAATTTTTATTTGTAAGTCATTTGGGACAATTCATTTGTCCTTGTGTTTCACATATTACACTGTTCAAATATTATGATGATTCCTGAGGTGCTATCCAGGATCTACCTCTAGTGTTTAGATATGAGACTGGACGGACATTCTGCTCTCCATTCCTTTGCCAGCCTCCAGTACTCTATGGAACTGAGGCCAGACATCAGCTCAAAATGCAGCATGCTTATTCTCAGTCTTGGCCCACCGAGGTCTGGCACCTGGTACAGTACTACTAAACAGAAAGATTATATAAAAGTGTTTTGAGCCGAGTTTAGGAGAGTCCTGACCTCTGAAATCTACCATCTAAGAAAACGAAAACAATCTTTTTTTTATTTTTAAATACCTAAACCTGAGCTATATTCCACCAGCCCTTTTTATTTTTGAGTTAGAATCTGCTGAGGCTGGCCTCGAACTTGCTACCTTCCTGCCTTAGCATCCCAAGTTGCTGGGACTACAGGTGTGTACCACTAAGCCCAATGCCAAGCAGTATTGTAAGTCCCTATGAAGCTTTGTTCAGGGCCAGAAGGACTTCAAGGAACCAAAGCTAGTGTCACATTTGGGTTTGTAGCCTCTTGAGTGCAGTTATTCATTATGCTGTCCATGGACCACATGCAGCCAAACTTATCTGGCATGGCCTATTTGAGGCTTACAACAAATAGGCTCTTTTTTTAACCACTTAATTAAAACAACCATTTTCAGTAAGAAAGTTAAAACTTTTACTGTGAATATGAGAACACTGAGCTCACTTTCTACCTGAGATAAAATGTAGTATTTTAACGTTTATTCTGGCCAATAATGAAGGTCAGTGTTCCCTGCTCCCATTACATTATTCCACAGAAGAGTCCCTTTTGTAAATCTCTTAAGTTAGATGTATAAGAACCATTTCAAGAAAAGTAAAACTGCAGTTCTAGAAAGGATCCATACACTGTTGATGCATTTGAAACATATTTTAATTTTCTGTTCCTGCTTTTAGAAGATCAAGTGTCAAGATGTATCTGAATTATCAGGTATCTGCTCTTTGAGTATAGCTTAATTTTGACCACTGACTTAAGCCAACAGTGAAATATTGTGGAATTCTGGAGCTAAGCCTATGAATCCTAGATTATCTTAAAACATGTTACCACTGGATAGTGTCCGAGTTCATCTGGTTCAATAAAAATATGTTCTTTCAACACATTCATAAAATGAAAACAATTAAGGAGTACTATTAGGAATGCCGACCCATAATGGAGATGTGCCTACTGCTTGAAAAAAAGTACCAATAATTTTATGAATGATTAAAATTAATTAATGATTAACACCAAACTCAAAAGACAGTTCTTTTCTAAAAATCAGTTTAAAAATCCTTTAAGGAGACTTCTTTAATTTTATTCTAAAATAATCCTAATATTATAACTCACAGGCTAACCATCATCCTTATTTCAATAAAAATCCATATGCTTCATAGATACATAGGTTTGTGATCATGTGCTCAAATACTACAAATAAACATGCACACTTCTAGTCCACAGTAAATTCCTTACTCGCTGCTAGGAAATACAATGTGGCCAAGAAAGAAAAGTAAGAAAAATAAATAGTTGTACATTTTCCTGGACCTATCCAGATTTTGAAATACTACGAAAAACAATAAATATCTAAGGGGGAAATCCACAATTTAGCAGAAGGAAAGCTAAGCCAAACTCTTCATTTTGGGTTAGTCATTAAATATTAGTCAAAGCTCAAAAGACATTATGCTTTAAAAAAGATGAAATTTTAAATGTCTTATAAATGAGTCAGTATGTTTATAAGACTCATTGCCTTATGAAAAACTACAGGTTGAAAAACTGTAAACTTTCTCCACAATAATAAATAATTTAAGAATTCGTAAATAATGAACTCATAATAGTTCTCAGGGCAGGGAAGGGAATTTCAGAGCCATTCCTATCTGCTGAGGCCAGCAACACAATAGCAGTTTCCACAAAGAAAACAGACCCTTTTCAAAGAGGAATGCAAAAGCTAGAATTCATTTTTTGTCTCCAGAATGGCATTTACCTTATCTATTCAGTCATTCACTTATACCTACAGCAAGGGAGATAATGCTGGCTAATAGTCAAGATCTACCCTGGGAATTGAGAATAGAGCAACAAGAGACAAGGAAAACAAATTGGTGTATTCCACAAATGATCCTTTTTTCATCTGAGACACACACTTTTACAGCAAAATGAAAGACCTACCATATGCATATCCGTAACTTAGTGCCTTCATGTGTCTTCTTTTGTCTACTATGAAATAAGTTACAGACTTGGAGTGTAGCTCAGTGGTAGAGCACTTGCCTGGTGTGCATGAAGCTTCGGCACCACACAGGCATTTACACACACACATACACAAAAAAAAATCTTAAGCTGTTATTTAAAGTAATGAAAGCCATAGGGGGTAGAATCTGCAGATATAAGTATCAGACAGGGAAATCTGTCCTTGAATCTCCTAGGTTTTAATGACTGTGATTAAACATCAAATTTATTATTAAATAAAACTTTATTTTACCCTGTTCTAAACATCAATAATGAGCAAATACAAAGCTTTACTCCATTCAGAGAGACAGATAGGATGTCACACCTGAAACAAGGGAAGAGAACAGTCATATAGTTTTCTAAAATCACATGTGTTTGATTTATACCAGGTTTGGCATATACTGAATCTCAGAGGTATAAAAGAAGTGGCTTCAATACAAAACTCAAATAATTACCTACGATTATAAAGAACCTGAAGCAAATAGTTCTAAGTTTTGGGAAAACAAGACATGTGCTCTTAGGCAGGTCATTTCATTCTCTATTTTCTTATCTGTCAAAAGTAGGGACAATGAAATCCTGCTCTGCTCACATCACAGAACTGTTATAAAATAAAAATACTATATGCATGAGATATCATGAAAAGTCCCCAACCAGAGAGAACTCCATCTATGGCAGATTTTTTTTAACCTTTTAGTTCATGTGACTTTATTTTGTTTGTTTGTTTTTCAAAGGACTGCAATAAAATAGGCACATGCTCTGGAAGGGGGCTGTTCATAATGTGTTTGGGAAGTGAAATCCACTTTAAGGTGTGCCAGTTTGTTCAGAATTTAGATTCACAGTAGAAAGCTGAAAGAAATGCAGACCAGTGGTTCTAAGAAACCTCAGGAATAGTGTCTGTCTCTCCCTAAGAAAGGACTCAATGGCTTGGGGTTCCCATTCCAACCCTTCTCCTTCTCTAATGTAATTTCCTTGACCCGATATGTTCAGTGATCACAAAATTATAATATAGGACTCAGAAAATTCAGAGTCAATATTGTGATATTGACAATATAGGTATTTCATTTTGCTGTAAAAGTCAATATTGTGATATTGACTCTGAATTTTCTGAGTCCTATATTATAATTTTGACAAGCTCTCAAACGCTCAAGTGTTACCTACAGTCCTATTTTTCTCTATCATGTGTTTTTATGGAAACAGAACAAATTTGTTCTGTCCTAACCCTATTTAAACACATTCCAAGTGGTTAACATTCTATGTAGTCAGAAAGAACTGGACTCTAGTTGAGAGTCCAATGCTCTTTAGAAGAGGAGCTTCTGTGGACTTCCATGATGAAACAGAAATATTGGAGGTAGTAGTCTCTGGGCTAGATGGACAAAGAGAACCTCAAGGCTCTAAGGGACAGTTTCAGTCCACAACCAGCGTGGCAGAGCTGAAAGTGCTTACTTGCTTTAATATCTGCTGTAATAATTAATGAATTCTGGAAAGATGTGTCATTTTAATGATGCTGTTATTTATAAGGCATATCTACGGGAATAATGTAAGCATTATAAACCAAGTAAATTTCTGGGACCAATTAATTCTTACTTTCTTGCCCATACCTATTCTCAAGTTAAAATAATTCTTATAATAATATGTCACACTGGCAATAAAAATAGCAATATGTACATGGTTGAACCATGAAGATATGCTTCATTTTACAAATTAAAGTAGAAATAGATCATCTTTTAAGAATTTTTATAGAAACCTGTTTTTAAAACACCAGTCTAAAGATATAAAGTCAAGGTTTTGAAAGCTTACCTAATTGACCTGACGGCTTCTAGCTCCTCCACACTTAGGAAGGAAGTTGTCTTCAGGAATACCATGTCGAATGTGCAATGGTCTAAAAGTGTGGCTGCCTTCTGCACATCACTAATGGTGATGGTGACTTCTGCTGTATTTGCAAAAAGCTTCTGTAGAGCATCAGCCAGGTGATAAACAGTGTCATCTCCAATCAACAAGAGGTCTATTTTTGCCTGAAGGAGAAGGAAGAAAGCAAAAGCACTACATAATTAATATCTGGACATAGAAAAAACATTGTGCATGAGAGGATAGAATAAATAAAGGTGACAAATAACAATGATCATTGCCTCTACAGCTGTACTGGATGGTGAGCTGTAAGTACTTCAAAGGTAGGAATGACCTCAGTACCTAGGATTCAATGGATTGGAAGGGCATTCTATTTTTAAAAAGTTTTTCCTACCTATACTATTCTACTGTGTTTTCCTGCAAATTTCTATCTTGTCCTATTAACAACAGACAAGAATCTTATGACCCAATTTCTCAATAGTCCATCCCACTGGAAAATCTGTTTACTGCTTAGAAAACCAAACTCATGCTCTCCCACACAATTTATTTTGGTGAAACACACATTCCAGAAAACAGCAAAAGATCAAAATTCCCGAGAAACACTCAAATAAAGTCATTTGAAGGGAATATATATACTATTTAAATCTGAGTATCAGGAACCAAAAAGTTTCTTCATTTCCATCTGGGAGTATTTTCACATACAATTAGAAAAAAACAGAATTCCCATCCTCACTTTTAATTTTGCTATCTTTTATTCTCTATAGCTAATGAACATAGCCCTTGGAAAATGCCCAAGGTTGGAAATGCTTGAATAAATGAAAGTAGTCAAAAGACAATTGGAAATGCCAGACCATGGACAGATCTATGTGAGAAAACAGATTGGGGAGTTGAGTGTTGAAGCCAAAAGTAGTAGGTGGAGGAGTTGGAAATACTTGTACAAAGAGAAAAGCAGGCTGTCGAAGATGCACCTCTTCAGGGCAGGATGCTGGTATAGAGGCCTCCCTGGGCTCTCCCCAGCTTCATCTTGGTTTCCAAGGATTGCAGGAAAGAACTGTGAGGTGTAAGAAACCAGGCAAGAGTGTGAAGTAAGCAAAGATTCTGCATTTTTACCTGCTTATCTTCTCATTTTCATCCTTATTATTTTTTAAAGTAAGTCTTCCTTTATCATCTCATATCCTCATTCAATTCCTTCCCTTGGAGCAACAACTATCAACAATTTGCTGTCTATCCTTCCCCACAATTTTTATGTCAGATGTATCAGTGCAATTTACCCACGTACAGCTTTCCCTTAAATAAATGGGATATTCCATTTTTAAAAAATAAGTTGTTTTTCTCATGTAATGATATAGTTCAACAATTCCTCAAAATTTTTGGTTCAACGAGAACATTCTCATTTTCCAGAAGGTTACAGATGTATTTTCTTAAAAAAAAAAAAAAAAAAGTTTCCTATCATTTGTTGGGATCTGGGGTAGATGTGCTCATCTTCATCCAGTCTTCCTCATGTCCAGTGATAATAACTGATTAAGCCATTCTCCAAATGTTGAACTTCAATGTTGTTAAAATGCTGTGATAATATCTTTATAAGCATTCCTTTGTGTAAATGCATAAATCCTAGCATCAAAGCTATACATAAAGGTTTTCCATTTTCCATCTTAGATATAGCCAAATTGCTTCTTAGAAGCAAAAGTTTGTGTCCCCACCAAGAGTATAGATGAGTTCCAATTCCCTGAATTCTTAATAAGACTGGTTATTCTTAAGCTTTTTAATTTTTTTGCATCTAATTTTCCTTTTCATTGGTATTTTTCTGATCAATATCCTTTCATTTTAATGGCAATTTACATTTCTACTTATTCCATATTCTATTCATCATGCATGCCCATTTTATTATGCATGCCTTTGTGCACCTTCCTGTTTATGGTCTTTTTCTTATTGCTTAGTTGGATTTTATGTATTGTGAATATCACTCAATTATTTTGAGTCTGTGTATCCATCTTTAAATTTAAGGTATCTTGTCGATGGTGTTTCATATGTAGTCACAAGTCACAAATCTGTTTTCTTTGGGACTTCGGTGAATTTTGTCTTGCTTTCAAACCCATCTGTTTATATTAGAATATGGATTGATATGTTAAATGCTTTTATTTTTTTCACTTAGCTTTTTATCTTCTTTGAAATTTACTTGGTGATTAACATGAGGTAGTATTCAATTTCATCTTTCTTAAAAGGCAGAGCTAAATGCCCTGATAGCATTCTTGAAAAAGATAAACTTTCCTCAGTGCTTTTAAATGCCACCTTTGTAAGTGATTTTATTATGTTTTTCTGAAACTCATTTTGATTAATCTATTTGTCTATTCCTGGTTGATAGCACACTGTTTACTAGCTATTTATAAAGTGTTTTTCTATTTGATAGAGTACATTGACAGTTTCCTTCTTGTTATTTTAAAATTTTGTTTGCAGTTATTTCCCATAATTTTTTTTTTCCAATGGAATTTTATCATCTTCTTGTCAAGGAACCCTGCTGAAATTTTGATAATGCTTGCATTTATTTTAAATGTTAGGGTATATCATCACTGTATTAAATATCCCTATTTAGAAGATATGACTTTCAAGAGAATTTGGGTCTTTTGTGTTCTTCATTTTTATAGTTACTTTCATATAGATTTTGCATGTATCCTTGAATATTTATCTTTAGATATTTTAACATTTAGAGATCACTGTGAAGGGAATATCTTTTCTCATTTACTGAATTTTTCTCATTGATATAGCTGTCATATAGAAGTGCTGTTGATTTCTGTATAAGGAAGGTGCTTCATATATTTTATGATATAACATATTTTAGTTGATTCTTCTCAGTTTCCTTGATAGACAATCATAAAATCTTCAAAAATGACATTTTTGTCTGTTTCCAGAATTTATGCCTTTTACTTGTTGATTTTAAAGAACTGGCTAGTGCAGGGGTTTTAGAGCTAAGTAAAATGTATTTAATACATTGGATATGTATACATATATTTTACTCGTAAGTATGCATCCACATAAAATGTAAGCATAGTATATACTTTAATGCTAACAAATTGTCAAAACTGCAAAAATAAATAAATAAATAAAGTGTTGGCTAGAATATCCAAAACAGAGGTGAACAGTGAAGTGAAAATGAGCATTCTTGCTTTGTTCCTGGCTTTAGTAGAAATATTTTGAAATTCTTTTACCACTAAATATGATATTTTCTGAAGATTTCTAGTCAATATCCTTTATCAAAAATTAAAAGTTTATTTCTATTTGAAGGTAAGAATTTTAAGTCATAAATGGGTGTGGAAATATACTAAATACTTTTTCAATATGAACTTGATCATACTGTTTTTTATTTTTCCTTTAATCTGGTAGGTAGACAATCATAATAATACAGTTCCTAATGCCAAGCCATCATTGCAAGTAATAAACAAATTCATAACAGATTCAATTCATTGTTCAATTTTTGTATCTATGTTCACAAGTGAAACTGGAAACATTTTTTTACTTTATTGTGTTGTCTTATCATGGTTTGGGTACAAGGATTGTATGGCAACCTTGAAGAAGGGAAAAAAAAGCATTGATATTATTCTATCATCTCAAATATTTTAGAAGACAGAAATTATAGGTTTACTGAGACTTATTTAAAACATGTTTATAAAAGTGCATTTAGACGACCTTTTACAGATTTTGATTGATTACAGTTAAAGTTTCCAAACTTCAATTAGGTGAATTTTGTTCATGCATATTTTGAAAAATCCATTTCATCTATATTTTAAAATGTATTAACTTTTAAAAATATGTAATATGTATTACTGGGTTCTTCTTGTTTTCTAACTCAAAATTAATGGTTTTTTTCCCTTTTTTTCTTTGTTTTTCTTCTGCTGATGCTTTATTACAGACTATAAAACTCTGTGGTCCAATACACAAGACATAAACAATTTACACTCATGTTCATAAAACTTATTCTGCATTCAGCCCAGTTATGTTAGCCTGTTTCAAATGCTCAATATCTATGCATAAGTGGCTACCGTATCAGGCAGCACAATTACAGAATATTTTTTCATTGCCAAAGAAAGTTCTGTTGGACAGCACAGTAGAGAAGATAAGTTTTCCTTCAAGTGACACCTTGTTTTATCCCATGGATTTTGACCGATACAGAATTCATGTTCATTCACAAGTAAAAAATTTTAAACTTTCAGTTAATATTTCTATTTTAAACTGAGTTCAACTCCTATATAAAGGTGTTTTTAATTTTAAAGGATAGTATGCTTTAGTTCTTGATGTTTTGCCAATCCATCAGTTGTTCATTTCTTATTTTGATATACCATCAAAAGTGAATGTGCCCTGCATGTTGTCTATTTTTTTAGAATTTGACATTCTCTTTATATCCTACAGCCAATTTTTGTAATGTTCTATGGGTATTTGAAAACAATGTCTATATTCTAGTAAACAAGTTCTATATATCTTTTAGAACAAACTTGATAATTGTTTTCTTTTGTCAGGCCCAGTTACTCTTTCAGTTTATAAGGAGGTATGTTAAACTCTCCCTCTCTAATTATGGTTCACAATGTCTTTATCAATGTCTCTATAAGTTCTATTTGTAACTAGGGGTCATGTACATAAAGGGGTCATGTTCATAACAGTTACACAAATTTATATGGAAATATAACTATAACATTTATACTGTATAATGATCTAGATTTATGTATGTTTAACAGCATATATATATACATATATATTATAAAGAAAGCTAAATATGAAATATAACTGTTACTTTTAATACTTTACCTCAAATTTTACTTGTTTCTACAACTTTTTTCATATTCCCTTATTTTAAAGCATTCTGTATCTTTGATTTTGTGTGACTTTTATAAACAGCATAAAATTGAATATTTAGTATTTTTAACAATCTGAGCTTTCAATTTTTGATGTACAACTAAAAGTAACTTATTATATTTATGACATTTACTATTGCCAATAATGTAATATGATTAATCAGCTAATATTAATTAATTATGAAACATTTACAACCTAATGTGAAATGGTCTAATTTCTTTCATTTGTCAGTCCTACTTCCTCTAGTTTTGTCTTTCTCCCATGTCTTTGGTTAAGCTGATCAATTTTTCCTTTTTCTACCCTGCTGTACCTACAGTGCTTTGGG